CATGAATGTGGTTGAGCATATGTATGGATGAGTGTGTATATGAGTGGTTGTGTATATGTGTGGATGTGGTTGTATATGTGTGGATGTTTGTGTGTGGATGTGTATATTGGGTATAAGCGTGTATCTGTACATGAATGTGGTTGAGTATGGATGTGGATGAGTGGTTGTGTATATGTGTGTAGTGGTTGTACATGTGTATATATGGATGTGTATGTGGGTATATGAGTGTATACATGAATGTGGTTGAGCATATGTATGGATGTGGATGAGTGTGTGTATATGAGTGGTTGTGTAGATGTGTGTAGATGTGGTTGTACATGTGTGGATGTGGGTATATGAGTGTATACATGAATGTGGTTGAGCATATGCATGGATGTGGATGAGTGTGTGTATATGAGTGGTTGTGTATATGGGTGTGGATGTGGTTGTATATGTGTGTATGTTTGTGTGGATGTGTATATTGGTGGGTATAAGCGTGTATCTACATAAATGTGGTTGAGTATGGATGTGGATGAGTGTATATGAGTGGCTGTGTATATGTGTGAATGTGTATATGTGGCTGTATATATGAGTGTATGTATAGAATGTGTATGTGTGGGTATATATGTGGGGTGTATATATGAATGTGTATCTATAGTGTATCTGTATGTGTGTGGATGCATATATGTGTGGGTGGTTCTATACACACACACACACACACTTTGCTGACAAAAGTGAGGAGAATCCGTGGCCTAGAGGTGCCTAATGTGCAAGTGGCCCGGGTTCAAATTTCAGAAGGGTATGGCTAACTGATAAATAGCTTGAAATAGCTATACTAGCTATTATAGCTATACTCCCTTTAATCCTTTGTCAGCAAAATCTAAATTTAATATACACACACACATACATATACATACATACACACATGTATGTATGTATGTGCATGTATGTGTACATGTATATATGAGTGTATGTATAGAATGTGTATTTAATTTTATTACATTTTACAAGCTCACTCAATGAAAGAACACAAAAAAAAACCCCAACCAACATGATAGCGATCACATAACACACTGACAAATGTCCTCCTCTCAGCTTCAATACATGAACATCAATAACTGGATCCTACTGTGATCTGATTGGCTCGTTGCCCAAAAGAGGATACCC